ACGCCCGGCTATTTTTTGCTTGCAGTTGTCATTGTTTGGCGGGCCCGGGTTAGATTTGAACCTGCCAGCTCAGGTATATGTGGCTGGCACCTTACCTGCTTGAGCCACAGGCGCCGAGCCAGGGGTCTCGCTCTTGCTCAGGCTGGTCTTGAACCTGTGAGCTCAAGCAATCCACCTGCCTTGGCCTCCCAGAATGCTTGGATTATAGGCATGAACCACTGCGCCCGGCCCACAATTGCTGCATTTCAAACCACTTCAAAACTTAGTGGCATAAAACAACCATTTTATTTTGCTTGGAGATTCTGTGGTCAGGATTTCCAGCAGGGCACAGTGGGAACCATTTACTCAGCTCTAGAGTGTTTGGGGCCTCAACTGGAAACATTCAGGCTATTTCTAGAACAGTTTAGAGGTGTTTTCTCTCATATATCTAGTGGTTGCTGCTGGCTGACAGCTGGGACCTCAGCCAGAACACCTCTTGTGGCCTCCCCATGCAGTCTCTCTGTGTGGGCTAGTTTGGGCTCCCTCAAAGCAGAGTGGTTGGGTTCCAAGAGCAAATGTACCAAGAGATCAAGGGCAAGTGCATTGTCTTTTTAGGATCTAACCTCAGAAGACATATAGCATCACTTCTGCCAAAACCTATCAGTCAAGACGCTCCCAAAGGTATACCCAGGCTTAAGAGGAAGAGAAGACTTTGCCACTCAACGAGAAGCAAAGGCTGAGGTAGGAGGATCACATTATGTGAGATGCATGTGAGATGGGAAATCTTTGGGGTCATTTTTGGAAAATACAGTCTGCTTCCCAAGGTCAAGCCCAATATCAATGAGCAAAGATCCTCTGGCCAGAGGGCAGTGGCAAACATAAGGAGGGAAGGCAGACTTATGAGCAAGTAATAAAACCTACTATAATGAAATAACCACAAAAAATAAAAAAATCATTAAAAGTCTCTACTACAGATGTGTAGAAATAACCAACACAAAATCAAGATGACAGAGTTTTTAAAAAAAATCACAATTAAAG